GGGCCGTCAAACAGCTTGCCATGGCTTCGATGGACATGTGCAGCAGCCAGCGTGTCCCCCCCCCCCCCCCAACAACCTCAATCCTTCAAGCGCGCGCCGTGCCTTCCGAAGGCTCGTCGTCTATCCAGATCCGTGGGTGGAGTCATCTGAACCAAATCGCTGGGTTCATATCGGCTTTCGTTAGCCGTTGGAGATGGTGTCTGGGATCAAAATCTCGCTACGGCGGATTTCTTCGGCGATCGAGACCAAGCCATGTCTCGTCACAGCTTCCTAATCAGGCACTTGATGCCTACCGTTTCAGACTTTCACTGTCGGGGCCGTAGTTCCGTCATCTGTCTCCCCTACAAGACGACAGAACGAGTTTGAAAGATGTGTGTTCTGCACAATCATGAGCAAGAAGTTCAGATACGTGACCAATACCTAGCAGATCTACTGTCGACTCAAGTCCGCGGCGACTTCTCAAGGCAATCTCTTTTAATCTAACTTTCAGCAGGATTGGGACGAGTCAATTAATCAAGTGTCTCCTACTCCACTTCGATAATGTAACCTGCAACCTTCAACGTATTCACCCCATGACACTGGACTGCATCCATGCCGGTGCGCCAGAATCATACATCATCACTGATCTCTTGCAAACTTCTTGACTTCCTCCAACCTGCACGTATACTAATCACCAACAAACCACCCATTCGTCAACAGTCGCACAACATCCAACATAATGGTCATTTGGGGGCCGATGCAGAGCCCCATGCATGCAGCTTCCTCAGGCCGCCAGATCGCAACGGCAAAGCAAGGTTGCCAGTCAGCCATGCGCCTTCGACATACGCCTCGGGAAGGAAGATGGATGAGCCTTCATTAACTAGTGTCATCCATTGTCGACGCCATGGTTGGACGGGACCGGTTCCCCGTACTGCCATGAAGCGGGCTCGATCCTTCAGCTCCGAGGACCGCTTCTCGAGTTCTCGGTCGCCTGGAACTGCGGTCATGAGATGCTACACGAGGCTGAGCTCAATCGCCTTCAGGGTCTGTGGAGGGCCCCCCGGATTATGGATTCCTGCTCGTTCCTCTCGCATGTCGAGGTTCTTTGTCCACCCATCTGCCTTGGGTAGCAAGAGTAGGGTATCATGCAAAGTCTTTCGAAAGGTGGTATGGTAGATTCACAGTAGATACCGTTTCTTGCGTACCGCATCCACAGTTCCACGCACCACATTGTAGGAGACGTGGAGTTCAAACACCCGACAAGCCGGTCACCCAAATAGCCAGGTTTAACAAACTGCCCTGTACCACCATTCCTCTAACCCATGCCTCTCCAAGAAATCATCTAGGCTTCTCAAGCCGACCACAAACTCACCATGCAATGAAAAATCCTAGCACACATTATAATCACACCATTCACAAATCGCATCGCTACAACTTCCCCAAACAGCAAATCCTCACCCCTTTGGAAAATTCCTCCCCCACGCCTTCAAAACAATACCATACCATACACAACCCCGATCCGCGGCAGCCCAGCTCGAAACAAAACGCACTGGTAACGCCACGATGATACGGCATGCGCAAAACCCAGGTTCTCGGTTCGTCGTACGTACCAAGGGCACGGCACGTAGGTACCCAAGAGCAAGGTCAGCAAGTGTACAAAGCAAAGCACACTGCTCCAAACCTGGGAAGCCACGCTGCCCGCACGCGACATCGCGACCCGATGACCAAGGATACCATGTGCAAAACGTTGTGTTCTCGTCCGACAGATGCATGTATGGAGATCCAGAATTCCGGTTGAAAGGGGGGCGTATAAGCAGCTTACCTGGACGGTTTCAATGCAGAGAAAGCTGTCTGGGTTGTTGGGGGTGGTTGCCCAGGGTAGAGGTTGGGTGGCTACATGTTGTTCAAGGAGAGCTGGGGAGCCACGCTTCTCGCACGTGTTGTAGGGACCCGAGAAGCCAGGAAACAGAGAGGATACGGTATACATACGGTGTACCCATGTGTTTCTTATCAGACATGTCCAGGTGTGGAGATCCAGTATTTTGGTAGAAAAGGGCGTACAAGCAGCGTCTCTAAATGAGTGAAGACTAAACTCATCAAAATCCCCGCCCCATCTTCTCAGCACTCGGGAACACAGTCTCGGTCGAGTTTTACATGTTCCAGTAATCCCATGCTCGCCCTGACCTCATCCTCGCCCAAACCCATCCCACTTCCCCAACCCAAACCAACCCCAACCCATATACCCACAACTCCACGATCACCCTGCCCCCGAGTTACGAGCCCGGGTAGTCCTGCAGAAGGTGTGGTTGTGAGATGAGAGCCACGAATGGGAAGTTGGGAGTGATAGTTGTGCTGGGATGTGTATTCTGTGTTATGCGTTGGAGTGTGATGTATGTTTGCATAGAGTCTATTATACAATCTAGCTCAAGTTTATAAAAAGGACAGTGTATGGGATGATGGGGGTGTGTTTGTAGCATGTTATATTATGGTATTTGATGTTTGATATTTGATACGGTATACATGGGGTTCTGCCATTTGGATGTTCATATACGTGTAGAAATATGTCGATACTTTTACCTTCCTTATGATACAAACTCAAAACCTCGTTTTACAATTTCACTCCTTTTCTTACCACCCACTATTACATTAATTAAAATTCTTTTGAGGAATTAATTTACCAAAAGTGGTTCCCCATAAAAAA